GTGAAAAATTTAGGCTGCAAACAAAAATTTTAGAGCTGGTTGAATGAAAATCAATTCAAGGCTAATTTAAGACGCTTCTAAGAAAAATGCTGAGTTTACAAGCCAAACCAGAAAATGACCACTGTCACAATTCAGCTTAAAAAAATGACTGATTCTTTTCTCTGCCTCATTTCCGTGGTTGGAGCATGTCTGTGGGTGTAAAGTCACAGCAGTGACTCTCAACATTGAATCCTCAGTGTTTACAAGGTCAAGGGCACATGTTAATCACACCAATCAGCATCACGTTGCTAAACTTCTTTTTTAAGGTAGGGAATAGCACCTCTGAATAGGACTATTTAACTAAGATATGTCATAAATCACACACATACAAAAAAGGACAAAGTGAGAGAACGTGAAAAGGTTGGTAAAGACCCAGTGCCATAATTTAGAACAAGAATAGAGAAAGATGGGCTACAAATAGGAGGGGAATCATCATTTTTACACTGAAACGCAATGTAATGGTTGAGATTATTTGGGGGAAGGGAAGATGTTCATTGCATTGTTGCTACTGTTCCTCATCTGACTATCACACTACATTAATGTTAACTTTTTCATACAAGGATTTCTGTTCATTATTTTATTACTCCTTCACTTCGCATGCCATCCTACAGTTTAGATTAGTTGAAGATAGTTGTGCCGATATTGGGAACTGCAGGGGTTGTTAAAGTCCTTCTGTTATAATTCTGTGGTGTAGGCTAACACCAGCTGAATCTCCAAAACTACCTATCATTTCCTTATTCCTATTTCAGCTGCCTCATAATTGTTGCCCAGCCGAATCACGTTTTTAGTCATGCTTTCTATTTATTTTTACTCATTTTGTTCAGAAGTTAAAGCATTAGTCTTGCCTCCGAGTTTCACTCTGAGATGTGAACACACTTTCTGATTGGTCTTTAGGGGAGAGAGTGAAGCAAGCAATGGAGAAAAGCACATTGGGTTCTTTCATGTTATCCTATCGCAGCAGTCACTTCTGAGAGACTGCCAAAAACTCTAATCTCAAAAAAAAGTAACATCGACAAATATCATCAACATAGGTCTGGCTATGGGAGCACAGGGAGCTGGACAAAATAATTTAATTCAAAATTAACATATATTCAAATATCTGCAACGTTCTACTTGTAGGTAAAAGTGTTGAAGATAGTATCTCAAACAAACAAATTTCTGCATTATCGAAATTTCTACTGTTTCATAGTTGTAGTACTATAAAATAACTTCATTTAGTATTTGAAATATTCCACAACAGGTTTAATGTTTTGTGCTATATTTGTTTACAAACAAGAAGGTGAATTTTTGGTAAAAGCTGCTAAATGCTGGGGTAATAACATAATCTAACTTTGACAGACTGACACTAACTTGGTCTTTCAGTTTTGCCCTGTATTTATAAAAACTGTGTTTCCACATAATTTAAAACATCATCATCATCATCATGGGTCTGAATTTAAACATTTTTATTAGGGAAAAGAAAGTGACGCTGAAAACTGTAGACTTACTCTTCGCAATTATATCTATCTCATTCATTTGTCCTGATACCTAAATACAAATGATAGTCGTTATGCACGGTTGAAAATACTGATTAGTCATAATTATTTTTTAATATGGATGGGCGAACTACAAATTAAGCTCTTGAACCTGTAAGTAAGGGAAATGAAATTGCCCTTTAAAATTTTAACCAGAAAATCAATTATATTGGATTAAAGCGGAGCCAGTCACCCAAGGATCACTGGCTCTGAGAGCAGACTTAACTCCAGCACTTTGAAGGTATTAACACACGGGCAAACAGTTTCTAAGACAATGTCCTTCTACATGTGACGCGCTGGCACAGAACATATGAACAAAGCAGCCAGATTTCCTCGTGAGAGTGTGATTATGGGGCGGGTGGAACCTCATTGAAGGAGGTGGGATATTTTCTCTGGACTATGAAGAAAAACCAGGGGTCTTTTCCAGCCTGGCACAAGTGTGGTCTGTATTGTATATGTGGGACCAGGGGACAGCTTTAATCATGCTACAAGTTAGGATTAAGGAAGAAAACAAGAAAAGTTAACTTCAGGTGAAATTAAAGACTGAGAAATGATGTGAGTAACGCAAAGACCTTGCCAAAGGTTATTAGCAGGAGTAAAAAGAGTGAAACACTAACAGCGATAACCGACTCACTAGCAAGTGGTGTGCATCTCCATGTAAAATATGTCCCAACTCTCTTTATCACCATTTCCCCTTTAGCCCGTGCCACCACGATCTCTCATGGGGACTAATGCCGTGGCCTGCTTCTACCCTTTCCTTCCATCCATTTTCCTCACAGCAGTAAGAGAGAACATGGAAAACATAAATTAGACCATGCCACTCATCTGATGCTTTAGAACAAAATCCACATTCCTCACCATGGCCTTTGCACCATCCTCCTCTCACACCAATTCTCTCCTCAGCCACCACGACTTACTCCTTAACTCCTGAGAAGTTCATTCCCACCGCCTGGAATTCTCTTCCTTCGGATATTCCCAGGGTTCCCTCTTCTGCTTCATCTGGCCTCTGTTCCAATGTAAGGTCCTCAGAGAGGACTTCCATGAACACCCTACTTGACATAGAAGCCCCCCAAACCAAATTGTTGCCTGATGCCTTACTTTACTTTTTACTTTATTGTATTTATCATTACCTGAAATTTTATATACATACACACACACATACAGACATATGTGTGTATGCATGCCTGTGTGTGTATATGTAAATTGTTTTTATATATATTTATATACATATTGTTTTTTTATTCTGTTTTAGTTTTTACTCTTTTATTGGCTGCCTCTTGTCTCTTCCACTGAAACATACTCTTACGAAGGCAGAGAACTACTTTTGGTTTCGGTAGTGCTACATTAAACTAGCTGTAATTATTACCAGTTTTTTACTACTTTTCACCCACTTTATGCTAATTCAGTATAACCTTTTAATTATAATTTAAATTCTATTGAATCTTCCCACAGGGGAAAGGTATTTTCATCTAGAAATAAAAAAAAATGCTGATTTGTTTGATAGTAATGTTGTAAATTGACAAATTACTATTTTGTCTTGTACGTATTATTCTATTAGCTTGTTTGGGGCCCTTTCCTAAGAGTGGTTCACTCTTGCAGTAGAGGTGAAGATGAAAACAGACCCTTATGTGGCCTCTTGACAGCCAACAATGTGCCTCTACCTAAGGCTGCCTTTTTTTTTTTTTTTTTAACATGAGTCCATCTTTAATATTATCACATTAACCACTTCAATTTGCTCAGTTACCTATGAGTAGGAAGGAGGGAACTGTATAAAGAGATTTTTATTAATAGATGTAACTTTTTTTTCAGAGATCTTTCTTTCTGCCTTTCCTTTTTAATTTTCAGCAACTTTGACTTAAACATAAGAAAGATTTCAGTTTTTAAAACTTTCAAGTAACACAATCATCCTTGAATTTAACACATGTAGGAATGTCAAAAGCCTAACCAACTGCCTCATAAAGATGAAGTCTCTTAGATCTTATTAAAATGATAACACATGACTGCTGGCAAAAGACTCAAGTCTGTTCGAACACACAATTGTGTGTCATAATAGTACTTCTATTCATTACAACTACCTGAAACCAAATTAAGGCTAGGATTCCCATCAGACACAATATATAGTGACTCCATTTCTATGAAGTTAAAATTCATACGAAGAATGAAAGGTCATGCACAGGCAAACTGCAGCAGATTTCAATGAAAAATTCGACGACTGTTTCAGCCTTCTCAATTTCTAAGAATAGTAAGGCTATTTCCTAGATCCTGACAGATTTGAAATTGCCATACCTTTTCTTGTGGCCATCTCTTTATTTTTCATAACTCAAGAAATATCTATGTCAATTTCCTGACTGAGCTCCTAGCATGTTATTGAAAGAAAAGTTATGTATTTCTTTTCATGATTTCTTTGTGATTTCCATACCCTTAAATAAGCTTCATCCTTTGCAGTGAAAGAGAATAAAACAAGGCTGTTAAGCAAGAGAAGATGTAATGGGGATCTGATGAGAATTTTGTCCTAAAACATAACTCTTACAAGTGCTTGAAATATAACTTCTGATAATTTACAATTTATCCTGCTTGACAGCATTGCTGTGTCCTCATTTACACTAAAATGTATGAAAAGTGATCAAGGCATAATTCCTTGAACTTCATGGTCAATAAGTTCTGTTAAGTAATTAGCAGAGATGTAAAATAAAACAAACACACCCAGAAGGATTCTGCTATCAAGTCTCTAAAATACCAAGTGAATGTATTTAGAAAATAAAGGAACAATGTTTGGATATAAATATGAAGTAGGTGGTCACAAGACATGAGAAAAACAGGGAAAATAAGGGACACCAGAAGAACTGGTGAAACTGGTCAAATCATGGATCCTACACCCTTTGCTCGTGCTTTTTTTTTTGCCCCGCTATTGGCCTGTTTTACACAGGGGTCACTGGTTGGCATCAGCTGGATTTATAAGGAGGGTTCTTCCACTTCCTGGGGAAAAGAGGTAAACATTTCCAATATTATATTAAAGATATTAATATTAAAGAAAAACTGAAACAAGCCACATAATCTGTAATAATAAGAATGTTTATGTTAAATTTATTCAGTGCTGTAGGTCAATTATATTTCAATAAAATGGGAATGGAATAAAAGAATGCAGGTTTAGGCATCAGTCAAACACAAATTTGAATTTCATTTATTAGGTGGATTCCTGAAGACAGGTCATTTCAGCTCCCTGAAACAGAGTTACCTCGTCTGTAAAACAGAGATAATACCCATTTCACAGGTCGGTTACGAGGAAGTAATAGAACACCTGGTGCAGCCTGGAACATAGGTTCTCAATAAACAGTGATTTGGTGGTGGTGTTATCATGATCTTATAGTTGGTGTTATATTTTATTTTGGCCCATCTCTGCACTTACATCATGCAATGAAAGACAAACTCCCTAAAAGCAGGACTTACCCACAAAGAGCTGACTGTTGAGCTGCAGGAGGACATGCCCATCAGCCGGAGCGGGCTGCGTCCTTGGTGAGAGCTGATCCACTTGAACAGATGCCTCTCTCGTGTTCCTCTCAACCCTAACGTGGTGCCACTGGTTGTCGCTGAAGTGAGTGGGTGACTGCACCGAGATTTCAAAAGGCCCATTCCCCACATCGAATGAAAATGTCACGACTGCAGGAGCTGGAAATGTCAGACATGAAGATTGTTCACGTTAGTCCCCGTGGTGGAGAGCTGAGTCTTCACTAGACTCAGGAATAGCACCATAGCATCAACGGTCACTAAACATGAAGACAATGGTTTGAACTCTATGGAAGGAGCCGTTGATGTCAGCACAGAATAGATGTGGAATGAGACAGTAAAATACATTTGTATTTTGGGGGAAAAATGGATTCTAAGAAATTCATCACCAGAGTTAATTTTTCACGGTGATAAAAATGAAAGCTATTTAGCCAGGGCAAGAAAACTAAACAGCATCTGGCATTTTATATAAAAATAATTTTGACAGTGATTCAAAGTTTATTTAATTTCAAAAGCATGCAATATGCATTTGATATCAAAATACTAATAGCAGTCTAAGAGGATATCAAAACAATACAGCTGGTTGATTTAATTAAGTAATTTTGAAATTAACTGAGAATTTGGATTTTTAAAAATTTTTAATTTTTTGAATTTAAAAGACTTAAGTTGGTTCTAGAGAAGACTAGTAATTTCCCCAAATTATTATATATGTTAAATATCAAGTAATTTTCTTGCAAAAACGCTATCTTAATATCATAGTTTTTTTCAAAAGGACACAATGAAAAGATTCAGCTGATAAAGTAGAAACATAGTACTTTAAAAATTAGTTAAAGAATTTACTCCTAAATAGAATCCCATAGACTTCTAAGGAAAAGAAGACTTACAGCGTAGCTCTATCCGTATAAAATCAGTAATCCCCAGGTTCTCTAAAAATACCCCAGATGAAGCTGTTGTCTTAAAAAAGAAAGACACGTCTGCACTAAGTTCTCCGTGGAAAGTAGGAAAATGAAGGTATGAAGCCTCAGTATTGAAGGAAGCTGAATTCCAAAATAACCCTGTTTTTTTTTAAAGGGAAAAATAAGAAAGGAAAAAAAATTCATAAAGTAAATGACATAATTACATTTTCTTTTTCTTTTTGCAGTTTTACTCTTAAAATATTGCTAATTTACACAAAACTGCTTTTCTTTTGTCTGTTAATTATACAGTATACAAGACGTGAAAACATGATTGGAGATTTTACAAGCGTTGAAATTCTGGATTCCTTCCAACATGGGAGAGGAATGATCACTGCAGTAACAGTCTGAAAGTTATATTTCATATAAGGAAAATAACCTGCAGCCTAAATACCAAAGCATTATGATAAGATCTGCCAAACATTAATAGACATTTTTTTATAACTTGAAAATTTAAACACCTACATTACTTTGAATAACAAAAACTCTACAGAAGCTCAAAGTGTTTTTTGTTCTAATACTTCTAACATACCTTACAGAGTTACACCACCAACTAACTGTTTTCATTAATGGGTTTTGTGATTTTCTAAACTGAGATTGGCAGTCAAAATATTCTCATCTAATTAAAGATCAAGACACTACTTACTCTGTGCTATGCTGATATGCTCATGAAAATGCTCTTTTCATTCAAAACTATCTTTTATTTTGCTTATAATAGTGAAGTAGGAAAAGGGTTCTCAACATTTTTTTAAATGCTCAAAATAAGGAGAAAATGTTTAAAAACTGTAGTATAAAGTAAGACATCTACAAAAATTATGTGACTATAAAGTAAATTATAATTTCTGTCCAAATACAACTTCTTATTTTCACCTTCCCATTCATTTTTTGGTTACATCTACAAGTTTCTACAAGTTTTCTTTTGAAAAAAATATTCTCGGTCTTATAAAAACAAAGCATGGAAAAGAAAATACACATGCAGTGGCACGAAGTGACGGAAGTGAAATCCAACCGGATACACGTGGTTGATGAGAAGCATTATCGGAGAAACGAACTACGCGTTGCCGCTGCCACCAGCAAGTTGTCGACACATCAAAAATAAATATACATCCTCAGTTTTAAGCAACAGCCATCATATGTACTCACAACACTGAATGAAATTCTACTAAATGACCTTCCTGGAAGAAAGACGTATTGATCGTCTGAAGTTAGAACACAGGAATTTCAAAACAACGTTTTGTTACGTTAGCAGAGAACAGATACCTCGTTAAGTTAAAAGTCACGAACTTGACTTGGCTTCTATTTGTTCCTTAGATTATGATTTATTTTCTATAAATTCTGGATCCAAACAAACGGTGCTTACATCTATTGTATTTTTTCCTGTATGTCCTATGGACCTGATTCAAAAGTCAATCCTCAGCTCATATGTGGACAATTTTAGAGCTGAGTTTATTCAGCTGCGAATATACTTAGAGGGCTTTTTTTTTTTCCCTACATCCAAATGAAACTGTATATTTTCTGAGTATGTCAAACTTTGCCCTTATTTCCATTCTACAGCTATTTCCGTGCCTAGACATTTTGCTCTCTACGAAAGACAGCAAGCAAAGCAAAATATCAAGCCAGGGGTAATAACACATTAGTGTTCTTAAAAGTTTTTACCTGACCTATTTTTAGAAGGAATTAAATGCCTTTCTGTTGAAATGTGTGAACATTAAAATAAAGCTGTAACTTTAAATTATGGAGTATTATTAAATCTTGCTCATCTGGAGTGATTACTAAGAGGAACCCTCAGAATTACTTAAAGGTCTAAATTAGATACTATTACTATAAGAACACAATATCCCACTTGTTTCATTTTTATATCACAACTAACCCAATAAAACGTCGTACAGAGGGCTTCAGGGAACGGGCTGAAACAGAGGAACAATTCTTTGAATTGCTGCTATTTTTACAATGAATGCTTCTACAGTAATGAAAACAATTTATTACCTTAGGTAGTTTAAACACTCACACACACATAGAACCACATTTATCTAGTTAGCAAACCTTATTTTACAGACTCACAATAGGTAAAAAAATGAAGTAAGATCACTTCATTGAATTAAGAAATTGCTGCTAATTCACAACAACTATAAAGACAGGAAAGGCCAATATTTCCAAATGATAGCTCAGCTCTTTACAGACTGTGCCAGGAAGCACCCAGGAGGCTCTGGGCTGCCTCTGACAAAGGAGGGGCAAGAAAGCGGAAGCAGAGCAGAGCCCAGCAGGCAGACACCAGCCAGAAGCGGCAGGTCTTCTGAAGAGAGGATTTCATGGCTGGGGTGGATTAAAAATCCCTCAGCTACGCCTGGAGCAGACCAGAATGCAATCACTTACTATATGAATGCTCTTTATCTTCCCAACAAAATGCCATTTGCAGCAACATGGATGGACCTTGAGATTATCATATGAAGTGAAGTAAGTCAGAAAGAGCAAGACAAATATCATATGATATCACTTATATGTGGAATCTAAAAAATGATACAAATGAACTTATTTACAAAATAGAAACAGACGCACAGAAACAGAAAACAAATTTATAGTTACCAAAGGAGAAATGTGGGGTGGGGGAGGATAAATTAGGAGTTTAGGATTAACATATACACACTACTATATATAAAACAGATAATCAATAAGGACCTACTGTATAACACAGGAAACTCTACTCAGTATTCTGTAATAACCTATATGGGAAAAGAATCTGAAGAATAGCTATATATATATATGTATGTTAAAAAACCATGATGTATTATTCTAAGTAATTATTACTAATAATTAATAAAAGTAATTAATAATTAGTATATTCTCAATTACATTCAACATAAGGTACTAGAGATTTGGAAAGATTCTTTCAGGGATACCACTTACTTATTAACTTTCCAGAATTCAAAAGAAATTGTAATGAATAACGGGATCCATATGGTTTTTTACATGGAAAAGGAAGATGTACTAAGTATTTAATTCCATACATAAGGTAAAAAGAGCCCGTATAGGAAAATTAACTTAGTAGAATATTAAGATTACAAGTAATTTTTAAAATACCTGTTTTGCTAAACTTTTATTTATATCATTTATTAATGATAATGATTCTCCTTTTAAAAGTAACAGATTTATAGAGACAGAAAGTAGATTAGTTGGCTGGGAAGATGGAAGGATTGAAAGATGACAGGGGCTAAGAGGTGAAGAGTTCTTTTTAGGGTAATGAAAATGTTCTAAATTGATTACAGTAATGGTTACACAATGCTATGAATATACTAAAAGTCACTGAATAGTTCACTTTACATGGGTGAATTGCATGGGATGTGAATTATATCTCAATAAAGATGTTTAAAAAAAGGACAGTATTTGAAAAATCTGTTTTTTGTTGTTTTTTTTTAAAAGAAGATGTTGGGGGTAGGAGTTTATTAATTAATTAATTTATTTTGGCTGTGTTGGGTCTTCGTTTCTGTGCGAGGGCTTTCTCTAGTTGTGGCAAGCGGGGGCCGCTCTTCATCACGGTGCCCGGGCCTCTCACTATCGCGGCCTCTCTCGTGGCGGAGCACAGGCTCCAGACGCGCGCAGGCTCAGTAGTTGTGGCTCACGGGCCCAGTTGCTCCGCGGCATGTGGGATTCTCCCAGACCAGGGCTCGAACCCGTGTTCCCTGCATTAGCAGGCAGATTCTCAACCACTGCGCCACCAGGGAAGCCCCAAATCTGTTGTTTTTAAGACATTGCTTTACTTTTAAAATCAAAATGCATATGACATGCTAAAACTACCTTTCCTTCTTTTTCAAAACCACTTATATGAAGTATGATTGACATGTAAAAAGCTGTACATATTTAGTGCATACAACCTGATGAGTTTGGTAACACTACCTTTCTTTTTTTTTATTTTTTAAAAATTTTATTTATTTATTTTTGGCGGCTTTGGGTCTTCGTTGCTGCGAGTGGGCTTTCTCTAGTTGCGGCAAGCGGGGGCTACTCTTCACTGTGGTGTGCAGGCTTCTCATTGCGGTGGCTTCTCTTGTTGTGGAGCACGGGCTCTAGGCACGCAGGCTTCAGTAGTTGTGGCACGTGGGCTCAGCAGTTGTGGCTCATGGGCTCTAGAGCTCAGTAGTTGTGGTGCACGGGCTTAGTTGCTCCGCGGCACAGTGGGATCTTTCCGGACCAGGGCTCGAACCCGTGTCCCCTGCATTGGCGGGCGGGTTCTTAACCACTGCGCCACCAGGGAAGCCCCCGACACTACCTTTCTTAAAAGTGAATAAAATAAAATGAAATACAGAAATGCAAAGGCAAGGGATAGTTTACTAGTCAAATGAATCTTTCTGAGCACTTAATCATTTTAAAAAGCTGGAAATATGGGTTTCTTTAATGAAAACTTTTATTTTGCGATAACTGTAGATTTTCATGCAGTTGTATGAAATAATAAAGATTCTGTGTACCCTTTACCCAGTTTCCAACAATGATAACATCTTGCAAAATTTTGGTACAATATCACAACCAGGGTACTGGCATTGATACAGTTAAGATGCAGAACATTTCCATCACTGCAAGTATTCCTTAGCCTTCCCTCTTAAAGCCATACTCTCTTCCATCCTGCCCTCAACCCCTCCTTAACCCCGGCAACCACTAATCAGTTCTCCATTGTCATTTGAAAAATGCTCTACAAATAAAGGCATACAGTACGTAGCCTTTGAGACTGACAATTACTTCACTTATAATGACTCTCTGAAGATTCACACAGCTTGCTGTGTATGTCAATAGTTCATTCCTTTTATCTGCTGAGTAGTATGCCATGGCATGGATGTTCCACAATTTATTTAACCATTCACCTGTTGAAAGACATCTGGGTTGTTTCCAGTTTTCAGACATTAGGAATAAAGCTGCTATGTACATCCATGTACAGGTTTTTGTACAAATGTAAGTTTTCAGTTCTCTGGGATAAATGCCAAGGAGTACAATCACTGAGTCGTATGAGAGTTGCATGCTTGTTTTCTATGAAACTGTCAAGAGTTCCCAGAGCGGCCATATCATTTTACATTGCCACCAGCATGTATGAGTGACCAGTTTCTGCACATACCTACCAG